TCCATGACTCAGAATAGGTATAAAAAGTTAATGATAGATTGCCACTGATAAATGTATTCCTTTCTACACACAAGCACTAGAAGAACTTTTCCACAAGTGCCTACCCTGAATCCATGCCTGCTCGGACAACCTGCCCATTTACTGGCCTGTTTTTGTTGTCAAGTCATCAGTTCATCAGAGCTGAATCTGGCCCCTCTTTGGATCTGTAGACAGGGCCTTCCTGGCACAGTGTCAGCAACACTTCACTACAATACTCGCAATGCCGGTGGGTGCACTTCTTAGAGAGCCAGAGCTACATTTCTTCATCTCAGGGCAGATTAAAAGAAGATAAATGATGTGACAAAAGTATTTTCCATGTTGAGAATAACAAGGGGTGCAGAATGGTCATAATTTAAGATAATAGGTGGTTAACTCCATCAACATTTAATTTTGTATTGCTAAAAATCAGTATCTGTAATTTTCTGACTGTCTAAATGATTCTGTTCTTTTTAATACATACATATACATTGATCATAACGGAAAAGAGGGAGAAAAAAATCAAGCCAGATACTTTTCACCAAGCTTCAAAGTCTCTCAGGAGTTAGAATTTTTGTTTAAACCACAGTGTTTGAAAGGTATTAACTATCATTCAAGGTGGTGATAGTATCACCGGCTGAAATTCTGATAAAGTCTGGAGGAAAGGAAAACTTTTTCTATACAGCACGGAGTTTCAAGTCCTAGACCTAAAAGCTAAGCTCTCAGGAAGGAAATAACTGTATTGTCAAAGTATTCTTACAACATACAAAATACCTGCAGTCACTATCTCTTTGTACAGGAACCAAAAACATTTAACCACAAAGCAAAAAAAAGAAAATAATGATTAAAATAATTGAAAACAGAACTATTTAAAACAGAACAAAATAAAACTAAAATCAAAACAAAATTCTGTACTCTTATTCTGGGCTAGATGATGTCTATCCTTCATAATGTCTATTAATACTCTACTTTTTATTTTGAGTTTTCTGTTTTAGCATTAATTTCATTTATTAGTGAAAACCAACATGCATTTATTTAAGGATTAAGATTTATTTAAGATTAAGTCTGGATCGGTTTGTTCTGTGGTTTCTTGTCCTCCTTGAAAATGCTTCAGATTATCATTGTGAAATGCAAATACCAGTCATACCAGCAACGCGCCTTTTTCATTCCTTCTTTACTGTATTTATTTTCCTTCTAATTTTTATTTTGGAAGGATTTCTTTTAAACCAAGTATTGGCTTATTTATATTAAAATGTGTTAATATTAGTTGGCTAACTAGATATGTCAATTGTTTCTTGCTATAAAATACTAAACTAAGATATTTGAGTTTTATCCGTGACCAAATAATTTCAGTCTTACTGATATTGATGAATTATTTAAAATATTGATATTTATAGCATGAACTCATTCTATTGCACATATGGATATAAGGTAAATGATGGAAAATGCTACAGATGTGATGTTGAAATAGAAAACACGTTAGAATAATAATTATCTCTTCCGGTGATGATATCACTCCATAAATGAGCTCATCTCATGGTTTACTTTTCAGTTTTTTTGGTTTTACGTCTTTAAAGAGTGAAGGAGTTTGACTAACAAAATTTTTATTTCACACTTTATGATATTTTTTAGATACTGTAAACAATTACAAGTTAATAAAATTAAAAATGATTATTATTGGTTCTCAGGAGAGGTTTAAAAGTACTAAGAATAAAGGATAATGAATACAAAAAAATCATGTAAAATTGAAATCAAGATTATACTAATTTACTAGTCATTCTAAGATTTATTAGTTCTGCAACAAAAATCAACAATAATTTTGACTTTTTAAAGTCAAAGAAAGAAAAAGTGGTTAATAGAAGCTTCATACGTTTCTTTTACATTAAATAGTACACAAGCTATTAAATATATAACAACCTTTTAAAACGTAACTTGATCTTGGCAAGCAGAACGCACGCAGTTCTGTATCTTGGCAAGGAAAAGACATGAAGTGAGAGTGACTGATGAGGTCTCGGGAACAGCTTCACAGTTATTCCAAGTATTGTAATCCATGGAATTTGGAGTCTCAGTTCAGTAAGTCTATGTTAACATAATTCAAGATGCTGAAATCTATATTTTGTATGAAGATTTCACATAAAAATGTTATTAGAAAGCACAAAAGAAAACCACAATCATAGACCTGCACCATCTTGGATTCTTGAATATATTACACCCCTAAGTACAGCACAATTTGTGTAGCTTTTTCCATGGTTCCAACTATTTACATGCTGATGACCCCAAGCCTCTACCTCCAGGAGCTCAGACCCTTATCCTGAGCATCAGTCTTGCGTCTCCAATTGCCAAGGGGACATCTCTATCTGAGGTCTCCACTGGCACCTTAAACTTGCTATCATGTCCAAAACCAATCTCATTATCTTGCCCTTAAACTGGATATTCTTTATTCCTTTTCTACATGAGTGGCCGTATCACTTATCTAGACACCCAAGGAGTCTTGCTAGATTCCTTCCTCTACTCTACCCTACTCCTTCTCCATATTTACTTGGTTACTAAGTGTGCCAGTCCTATTTCCTAAATACCTAGTGAATCAAAATTCTTTCACTCACTCCCATAGTCACTGCTTTATCTCAGGCCCAACTAATTTCACCTGTCTTACTGCAACGGCTTTGTAACTATTTCCTTCTCTCAGTTTCATCTCATTTCAATCATCCTCCACAAGGTCATCAGAGTGACAAGAGGCAAACCTCCTCTGCGGAAGTTTCTTCAGTTGCTCATTTTCAGGAATTAGAAGAGCCTTGGTCGCCTGTCATCTGCTTCCTTTCAAACCTAATCCTTAAATGTCTCCTATACCAAAATGTTTTCTTTTGCAAATGCTGTTCTTCTGCCTGAAAGGCCATTCACTAGTTAATTCATTTATTAACAAAAAATTTATTGTCAGTTATGTACTAGCTATGTAGGGCTTTGAAGATATAAAGAAAGGAAAGACATGATCCTTAGCTCCAATCAAGATCTCACAGTGAACTTGCCATTCTACTTCCCTAGTTTGAGTTCTGAATATAAGAAGTTTAAGATATCTATGGAGACTCCAGATAAACTCCTAACTCTTCCTTTAAAACTCAGCTAAAGAGATGTCTTGTCTTGGAACCTTCCTCAGCATTCCCAGTATTCTCTTTAGTGCAGTTGGGAGCATCATCTCCATGTGCCCCTGGCACCAAGGACATGTTTCTATAGCATTTTCATGTAGAATTGTAACTCTTGGCTTGTTTGAGTTTTTCCCACTAGGCTGTGAGTCTCCTGAGATCAAGGGCCTTATTGTGTCCCCAGAGTCTAGTACAATGCCTGATCCATAGGCAATTTCATTCAGGAAATGTTCTTATTTCAGAACCACAATATACATCGTGTGGCCACAGTATACAACTTTTTATGGTTATGCTGATTCTTCAAAGCAATAGCAATTCTTAAGAAATTTTAAACATTATGTTTTTTAATATATTACAAACAATTACATTGCAAGTTAATAAAATGATTATTATTTAGTTCTCAGGAGATGTTGTAAAAGTACTTGCTGTCCTGTTTCACTGTATTATAGATACTCATTTGCTACAAAAAGTTATGTATATAGTTTTTCTTCATTTAAGGCAAAATTTGTCTATCTTAATTTTAAGATATATTTTTCTCTCTCTAAAGGAACACAATTACTAAGGAGAATTTGGAATATACAGAAAGGCAATAAAGATAATATAAGTTTTAAAGTAATATGTATTTGATGCATTTCCTTCTATGCATTTCCTTCTATGAGTTTGATATGCAACTCAATTTTTTAAAAAACTAATTACATATATTATGGTGTTTTCCTTTTTTCATCTAACATTATATTATTAATCCTTTAATGTTATTTATAGTTCTTTGAAAACAACTTTAAGCCTGTATATTATACTCATGTGGCTATCCCATAATTTAATACACAATTATCCTTTATTAGGTAAGTATAACATATCACTATTATAATTAATGTATGATAAAACATATCACTGTTGTAAATAATGCTGTGATAATATCCTCAAACATAAAACATTGTACACATCTCTATCTCTATAGGATAGAGTCTTAGAATGGAAACTATCGTATCAGAAGCATAAATTTCTGAAGCTCTGGATACATATAAAACAGTTTTCCAGAAAGTTTGTACACATTCACATTTGTTTCTGTATTAAATTTCTGCTCATCACTAGTTATTTTTTTCACTGCTTATTACTGGTTATTTTTAAAACAAATTTAAAATTTAAAAAGATTTTAAAATCTTCGTGTAGAAAGAGGATTTACATGTATTTTTTCTAGCAGTTTAAGGAAGAAAGATTGATGTGCACAGATGGTATAAGTAATAACGCCTTATAACTATGTAGCAACATGGTCACCTACCTCGTCTTATTTAGTTCTCACAAGAACCCTATGAAGTAGGTACTATTATCTCTACTAAAGCTGGGGAAATAAGCTCAAGTAAGTTAACACTGAACAGCCCATTTATTAAAGCCCTTCTCAGGAATTCCCATTCAAACTCTCAAGAATTTGGTTGAGAGAAAGTTAGCAGATAAGAGAGTAGCTATTTCATCTTTTTTCCTCCTTTCTTTCCTGCTAGTGTACAATTTGACAGATAGCCCTTAATAAAAGGAGCCAAACCTAGGGGTTTCATCTGTTTCAGTATCAAATTGCCTCACTTGGAAACTAAACTAATTCAAGTGAACTGACAAGCTATAGAGTTTCACGGAGCCTACTCCCATCACAGATGGATTCTATCGCTGAGCCATAGTCTTCTTCTTTATTCCAAAGAGCATCATTGTTACTGTAATGACATGGCCATTCATGTATAATGGCTACTCTTTTAACACAGTGTTGGGGGTCGGGTGAGTGGAAATAGCAGTAGTCATTGAGACGGGCATCCGGAATGGCATATTGATTTTTATTTTGGTTAAAAAATGACAAATTCTTACCTTAACTATTAATCCTTTTGAATCAACCAACCATATCTTTTTTATGGCTTTCTCCTTTGGTAAACCTTCTTTTTCCATGGCCATAACAATCAGGTGTGCAATCCCTAAGGCAGCCTGAGAAAGAGGTTATGAAAACAAAATTTTAAAAGTTGTTCCACGTAACATCTTATCAAGAGTTACATTTCACCCCACTTTGTCTTTGTTAAAGAAAGTACAAAACAGCCCTGTCTATTGACCTAAAGAGTTATATTCATTCATTTATACTGGGAGCAAAGTATTTTTGTCACATTTGGGTTAAGCTAAATGACAATTACTCTTCCTATTACAACAGAACCATTATGTGGCTTGATATTTACCCAGATAAACCAGTGATATCTTTGATTGTCAGTATCTTTAATCCCATCAATACAATTAAGATTTTCTCCAACAAGAAAATATTGAACTTAAAATAATGAACTGGTCAACCTTGCTTATTGGATTATATTGTTTATTGTTGAGTTCAAGCTCCTTTAATTGAATTTGAAGAATGAAGCCTGGTCACTTGGATGGGAACTTGACCAATTAGGCAATAGAATGAAACACACGAAATCTGTGTTCCCAAGCATTTATCTACTCTCTTAATTTGGACAAAGAAAGTACTGTGAAATTTCTTGCAAGATTAAAGGAATCAACCTCTTCAGTATCTGATAAACTTTGTGATAATCTGTGAAATTTCCAAAACTTTTCAGGGAGAAACAAGTGCCAGTTTTAAATCATCCAACCATGAACACCTCTGCCCGACTGAGGATCAGGAACTGGCCTGTGCCACTCATCAAAACTGTTTGGAAATTCAAATAAGACGTTTACCAAAATTAAGTACAGCATGTAACAATCCACAGAAATAAAAAACTCAAATTTTAATGAGCTGTAATTTAGCCTTGTTTTTTATTTCAATGTGAAAATGAATTTGTGATTTACATTCTGAATACTTTCCATGTTTATATCTTGGCATTTAAATTCTAGCTTCATGTATTTTATTTTATTTTAAGAACAAGTAAAATCAAAACCAACACAATATATACAATTTCTACCAGTGTAATACATTTATTCATAGTCATATTACATTTGAAAATTTAAAGCTTCTTAAAATATATATAGCCACAAAGTATGTCTCTATTTATAATATTCTATAATTCTAAACAGAATTTGGCAGTTTTCTCACAGGAAGCTCAAACTCAAATGACATTTTAATTTCTATTTTGGGGGTGAATTATTATTATGGGAGTCTAGTTTTCTTCTTTCAAATGATTAACTTATAGAAAAAGATAAAACAGCATAATTTTGTCTTGCTACCATTTCCTTCCAACAATTTAAAATGTTTTGGTTCTTTTGCATGTGAACAGTTATAATGCCTGATGAGTTGCCAATTCAAAATATTTTTTTCTTAAAAACTTGTATATAGTTATATATGTGCACATTGAATTGTGAGTCAAATTAAGAAAACTTTTGTATGTGACACTGGAGGATACTAAAAGTTAGTATCAGATATAACAGCTTATACTAGCTTAAATACTTAAAGGCTTTTATATATAATCATACATTGAAAACTTTTTTATTCCTGCATGGCACCTTAAATATGCGTAACAAAAACCCATGATGCCATCTGATAATCTTACAAATTTAGAGCTGTGAAAAATATTTCTATACCACTATACTAAGTCTCCCACGAAAAATTAACATGCCTCAATACTTAACTTGGGAATATTTCAATAAAACCTACAGTTGCAATATACTAAAAATTTGAAGGAATACCTCAAAATTCAAATTAATGAAAAATTGAAATGAATTATGTATGTTCATTAGTCTAGGAGAATATAAGTAGTATATAGCCAGGTACCTCTCCAGCTCCTTGGAACAGTATTGTTTGATCAGATAGTGTGTTCTTGGTTATTCGAAGAGCTGCAAGGATGCCGGCCACTGCAACAGATGCTGTTCCTGAAACAAGTAACAAATAAGCTTGAGTCACCCTCAGACAGATCCTGCCAAACTCTAAGCCCCAGATCTTTATTCACATCTTGAAATCATCACACAACAGGTTAACTGGTACAGAAAGGGAAACTGCAGTTGTCAGATCCCATGCTTGCATGTGAGGTGAAATTCTCAGGCTATTGACATCAATAATGTTAAGATGGCAATTTACTACTATCCTTGAAAACTTTCCAAAGAGAGGATTCTGTGACCTGATTTGGTGATGCAATGAATAAGAGCATGGGGTTTGGATTCTTATGTGGATTCCAGCTCAACTGTTTACTACCAGAATGCATTTAGAGAAATTATTTTGTACATCAGTTTCTTCATCTATAAAACAGTTGTACCGTATGAGATTAAAGAGTACTAAGTGCTATTACATTCTTCCACCTAATTACTCTTGGGGCTCTGAAATCTATTCTGATCCCCTCTACACAAAGGAGGCACATAGTAAATGCTTGCTGATAATGGTGGTGGTGGTAATGATGTTTCTGATACATTTGGAATTTAAGGTCTTAATTTTTGACTTGAAAAATCAACAGTTAATAGTAATTAAAATTTGATGTTATTGTATTTTTTAATTGTCTTTCTACCTATTATTATCATTGGTGGATCCCAAAGGTGCTGGACAAAATTAATGTAAAATTTATTTAGGATAATAACTGAGTTTTCCTCATCATGCTTCATAGTCATAGACACCTCACCAGTTCTAATTTTATTTCTTTGCCATATAAGCTTTCACAGACCACAGAGCAGTTCTGCTTGGAACATAACTACATAGCTCAACTTCCTTATGGCTCATGGCTGAAATAAAACTTCTCAGCTCCTTGCAGTACTTTCCAGCGGCATCTACATGTCACTCCTCTAAAGTAACATTCTCCATATAATGGTTCTGAGATCACTCAGCTGGGCAGTAAAGCCTAGTTCAACTTTAAACACCCTTATTTGGTTAAAAAAAAAAAAACAAACAGATTAGAACAGGTTTGATGAATGACACAATGACGAAATGTTATGTATACCAAGTATCAAAGAAAATTAAACATTTCACCATCAGTATATTTGTTCCTTTCAATCTTTGGGTTGTTTGTTTCTTTCCTGTAGAACTTGACAGTCATAAATAAGATCACAATAAATGATAATTATTAAAGACCTGTGTGTCTCCTGCATGTTTTTTATTTAGGAACACAATGTGTATCGCAAAAATAAAGTGCTTGCAATTTTGAGCCACCACTGAAACAAATTATGAACTGTGCTAAGTCATACATTATGCAAAGGCCATTCTTCCATACATTATTTAAAACGAAAGCCTATGTAAAAATATGGCTGATCTATGTAGGAAAGATACCATGACAGGATTAGAATGGTATTTGTCTCATACATCACGATAGATGCACAAGAGTTGTTAAATACATGAAAAGAGAATTTTAATTAGAGAGGTATAGATATCTAGCCACTAGATAAGTAGTTATTCATGAATAGTATCTCAAGCTCTATCTCAGGCTCTTTTGAAATAAGTTGGCCAGAAGTTTGGCTCCCTTCCTACTCTGAGACTCTATAATTTTAAGAGTCACAATAGATCCTACTGTGAGCACCATAGATTTAACCAGTTGAAAAGTCAAAGTTGAAGTATCATCAGCAATAGTGCATTTGCATATTGTTTTGATTTTCAATAGAACAGTGTACCTAAGGACAGATAGAATAAAATATTCCAAAAGAACCTAACTCCAATGCAGTGATATTTTTATATGGTTATGCTAGATCATTCTGTACTAAAACTCAAAATGTTTTAAGTTCAGACATATTACCTCAAATAGGACAAAATAAGTCTCTATCTACACTGGATATCAGAGCCTTATACTTAAATGTATATTCTATAATATTTCCTATAGACATAATGAAACACCTAAATTTTTCTCCATAGAATTAGTTAATAAAATCAGACAGATCTTAGCACTACCAGAAAGTTAACATGAACATGATTGTTGTCCATGTCCTGGTCCCACCTCCTGGTACTACCTTGATTTAAATTTCATTGCAGTCAAGGGAGCAAATGTGATAAGTTGATTTTTCATAAAAATGTGAGTTTTTGCAATAAATTATTCCAAAATAACTTTTGTTTTGAGATAGAAAACTAAACTTTCAGTAAATCAGACAAAGACTGAAGTTTATCTTGGTACTATCACTTTTAAAGAGTACTTAATATTTAACATTGTTAGCAAGATACTAAAGAGATTCAATCTTCTTAAAATTTTAGAAACTTCTGCTTGTATTTGTGTATAATACGACTTTAACACTAAAAGAAGTCACCAGTTATGCTGTGTTTTTGCTATGGTTATTAAATATCAGTCTTCTCTTATCAAATAATTACCTCTACTAATGCAACAATTTGTTAAATCTGATTAGAATCACTATATATAACTAGTAAAGGAGACTAACATGTAATCAAATAATTATAATCCTCACGTGCTACTAAATAACTCGATCAGGTAAAGTACAAGAACTAGAGGCAGGGAGAGGGGAGAGGAGGAATAAACGTGTTTAGGCAAGGGCCAAGGCATTTAGAGTACACAGGACCTGAGCATGGTATGAAAGGATTGATGTGAGAGGTCCAGGACCTCAGATGGCATGATATACTATGCAGAAAAACCATGTGCAAAGACATGGAGGCAGGGATGACTGTTATAAAAATGAGGGATTGAACATATAATTTAGTTTTCCCTCCCCCCAACAAACTCTACTAAAACAACAGAAAGGAGATTTTTAAAAAATCAAAGAGACCAGGAGAAGAGGATAGCAACAAAATTTTAGAAGCTGGAAGACAGACGGGCAAATGGCAACTGACTTACTAGAGTCGAGAAAGCTGAACTGTTGGCCAGCCACAGGGAATGCCAAGAGGCAATCAGACTGATATAGCAAAAGGCCTGGGCATAGGAGGCACCAAGTACCTCTGGAAGAGGGGATGAAGAAGAGGCTAAAAAACAGGAGGCTGTTCAAAAATCTGTTAAGAAGTGGTTAGAACCCAGATCCATTTCCCTCTCTTTCTAGCAGACGGCTGACCCTCCCATACTCTTGAGGTTTAGGAAAAAACTAGAGGTTTATTTTCCAGAGATGATCTCTGGACTATAAGATACCAGGCATAATTGGGTGCAAGGATGCCATACTTGAAAAGAAGAAGATCAAATTAAAGTTTACATACTCAATATGGAGACCCCCAATCTTCTCCTACTTGGCTCAAAGAATACTGGCAGAAAGCTAATATCATGAGAGAGATTAGAAAAATCTTTTCTGCGGAATCTGAGTAGTGTAAGAGAAAAGAACCATAGACTGACAAGGAAGATGCCTTAAAGAAATGGTTCACCCAAGTCATCTTACAATAAAGACCCAGAATACAAGCTCCATTTGAATACTGAGCCTCTCAAGATGTAAAAGGAGAGAGAACATAGAGCACATGTGAAACTGTAGGTATTACAGTGTTGCTGAATCAAACACAACTTATTAGAATGCAAAGTGATCTGAGGCGAGAGAAGTGTTGGGATGAGATCATGTAGGGCCTTCTACTACATACTAATAGTAACTATATATCTATAATAATTTAATAATATATAAATATATATAAATTATAATGTATTATTGGTAACAGATGGTTGCTGAAAGATTCTAAATTCAGAGAGCACTGAGGGGAATGGATTTGAGAGTTTTCAGGCTGGTAGTATGTAGACAAATTAGGAGGTCACTGCAATCATTGAGGAGAGAGAATAGTGAACAATCCAAGAGAGAAGTAACTTGAGAGGGAGGAAATATTTAAGAGATAAAAATCAATAGGTCTTAGTGATTAAATGCATAGAACGGGGAGGAAAAAGTCATGAATAATTGTAAGTTTGCAAACTAGGAAAAAGTTTGCAAGGAAAATACGAGTTCAATTGGAGCTTTGTGAGCTTGTGCTTCTTGTCTATATGTTTTCAGGGGCAATGTCAACAAGGTAGTTAGATACACAGCTCTGGAACTCAGCATAGACATCTAGGTCAGAGACAAAAATCTAGAATGTGAAAACCTGTAGTGGTATTTAAGTCATGTGGATTGATAACATTGTTCAGACTGAGTGGCTGAGGAAGAGAACCCAAATGAAGATAGACATTTGAGGAGTAGAAGGTAGAAGAACATGATATAGGGAAGATGACTGAGAAAAAATGGTCACAGAAGGAGGAGAAGGCAGGAAAGTATATGGTGTCGTGGAAACAAAGGGAGGAAGTAGTGACAGAGAAGATAGGTCAATTGAGAAAGGAAATGAAAAATAACTAATGGATCCGGCAGTTACATTACTGGTGACCTTTCAGAGAGCTGTTTTAGTTATACATGTTAGGGCTGAAGCTGGAGGGCAGTGTGCTGAGGAATAAATAAAAGATGAAGCACAGAGAGAGCAGGTGTGGAGTACTCCTTGGAAAAGCTTAGATAAGAAAAGAGAGAATGAAGTGGAGATGGAGATGGGGTGGGAGGGGAAACAGGGCTGATGAAAATATTTTATTTTTATATTCGTAAGGGAAGAATGACAAGGGCTGCTGGAGGGAAGAATGTAGGATGGAGGCAATTGTTTTAAGAATTAAAGCAATTGAAACGTGGTTGTAGGCTAATGGGAAGAGGGCAGGAAAGAGAGAGAGGTTGAAGACACAGGAAAAGAAGCTATCTTCTAACTCCGATGAGCTTTTCCCAACTGGTAGGGTTTCATTATTTGTACAGCAAAGCAATGTTTAAAAAATTCTTAGATTAGATTCTTTTGTAATAAGAATATTTAACAAAATATGCCTGCATTCTATTTCATGTGTTGCTTTTTCCAATAAATATTTGATGAAACAAATTCTAATATAACAAAATAGTCTATAGTTTCTTGCATTTTAGTATAAAGACATCTGGAATGCACTGGAATAGCAATTATGGAATCTACATATATAACAAAGTGCTTTGGAATATTA